AATTTTTGGATTGGTTGCTGTAGTCTATTCTGACGGTTATTTTGGTGGGATTGGTTTGTTAGTTTGTTTATTATTATTTATTTATTTATTTGGGTTGATTGTTTTTACTTGTTTTTTATGTATTTTATTTTTATTTATTCTATTTCGTCTATTCTAACTGGAGTGGTTTCTTAATTTTTTATTATTTGTTTGAGTTAATTTATTTTACTTGTTTTTTTTATAGTTTGTTTATTCGTATTTATTCATTTCAGTTTTCGATTTTTAAGTAACGTAGTAAAAATTTGTTTTTATGTCTGCAGTTTATTTAGTAATTTATTTTGGTCTGGGAAGGTAATAATAGTTATTTTTTCCTCCAAGCAAAGTTTGCAGTTTTTTCATTGATTGTTGTAGGCTGATGATTTTTTTCTTATTTTCCATGATATTTTTGGTGTGATTTGTGTTTTGTTTTTAATTTCCCAGATGTACTTGGAAAGTACAAAGTTTTTAATTTCCCAGAGGTACTTGGAAACATTGTACTGTTCGCGTATTTACTATATATTCCCGCAAATTTACTCATATATATGGAATAAAATGATATATTACTTTTTTATATAAGGAATAATCTTAGGAAAATTGATGACAAACGCATTAGTTGTTTACGTAATGAGTCTGATAATAATTTAAATTTTAAAATCCTAGTGTAATTAACGGAGAAAGCAATTTAGTAAGACAAAAGAATACAGGAAATTCTTTAATCTGAAAGCAGATTTTCTGTTATCACAATGTGCGATACTTAATAACAAACGTGAAAAGACAGAAAGAAATAACTAAAGTTATATATATATATATATATATATATATATATATATATATATATATATATATATATTATGTTTGTGTAAATGTTCATAGCACCCTTTTATAGTATAGCAAACATAGTAAATAGATAAGCACTAGGTTGTTTTGTTTTTTGTTTTGATTTTGGGATTTTTTTTACAAAAACTTTTTTAAAAAACATTAAGAAATCTCTTATATATCTATATATACCTATTATACGGAAATTAGTTAATCAGGTGATTAATAAGTTGTCTTCGATGCTGAACCTGTCACTCAGATTTCATCAGTGTTTTCTGTTCCCTCGCAAATATTTGGTGATGTCCGTTTCTTCTCTGCAATCCGAGGCACCCACAGATGGCAAAACAATTATTAATGACATGTCTGCATGAAGTTATTTTCAGCTCGACATTTGGAATCATTCACAGTATTTCCTGGTCAAGAAACGATACATGGCAGTGCCTCTCTCCACTGAGTAATATGAGACAAGTAAAAATTATCGTTGACTGGATCTGTGATCAAACAGATTATCAAGGTACCGTACCCATTCCCTCGGGGTATGTTTAGAAAATTAAAACTAACTTGGCGATCTTAATCCCCCCAAATAATCGAAAACGGCTAGTATTAGTTTATATAAAATGTGCTAGCTTTCTTTTATTTATTTATTCGTTTTTTAGACATTGCAAGATTTTGATGAGAATTGATTAAGCGTCTATCTTTATCTGTCGGTTCTGTATCGATAATATATATTTTGATTTTCGCAAAAAAGATTTTTTATTCCTATTGGACAATCGAACTACCAGACGTGGCATCTTGGCGTCAGTCACATTTCCACCGGCGTAATATAGCTTCCCTGTGCCTTTTCTATAAATTCTTTCATAGTAATTGTTCTGATGAACTTTCAGATATGACTTTATGGATTTAATCACAGAGATTGTAAACAAGGTCTCATCAATTTCCAGTTGAATTCGCTAGTTGGGACCGTAAGTTCTATGCTAAAAAAGTATTTTTCTTAATCATTTGACCGAAAGCAAGGCAATAAATCCACTAAGACGTAAGTGATTACTAAGTGTTAGGGAATATGAGAAAATAACGCTATTAAGGAGAGAACAATCAAAGAATAAGAATTAAGAATACAAATGATAAAGATTGACATTGCATTTAAATTTTTGAAGATCAAACTTAAGATGACGGAATGAGTTCCACAAGCGATCAAATTAAATGATGAGACCTTGTTGCCAGCCTAGTAGTCCGCTTAAATTGATAAAGTTTAAGTACGAAAGAAGAAAGATCATCAGAACACTTATCATGAAAATATTGCAAGAAAAGATACAGGAAAGATACATTATGACGGTGAGAAAGTGACTGAAGCTGAGATGCCAGGTCAGAAGCAATGACATTGCCGATTTGTCTTTCGAAGTATTTTTAAATATATAGCAAAAGTACGAGACTAGTTGTGACAATAGTATTAATTTTTTTTAAAGACTTATTACAGAAAAAAATATAGGAATTATGTAAAGAAAAAAATCCTAACTGATTCAATAACATTCAAAATGTTCTCTGTATGATTGAACCATAAAGTGAATTTCTTTAAAAAGTGGAATAATAAGAAAAAATGTACAACTAATTTCGTATGCAAATTCATTATACCAAGTCACTGAAATACCACCCAACAAAACTTGCCACCCTCTCACCCTAGTCTCGTCCTGCCAGTACTTATTATGTATATTAATGTTTAATATCCGCGAACGTGATGTTATTTTTTAACTCTGTATTCCATGAAGTAAATGTAGAGTCATGCTTCCTGGGAAATTAATACATTGTAATTTGCGTGTTTCTAAACTATAAGTGA